AAGAATCATGCCAGTCCCATACTGCTCAAAATAAATCCTTGTTTGTTTAATCTAACAACAAAAATAAAAATATATGGATATAGTTTTTAAGAAAACAACAGGTGTTCTTGAAGATGTAGAGAAACTAGAACTCTTATCAACTGCTGATAGGGTTGTAAAATGGTACAGCTGAAGAAATCAGTTTGGTGTTCTCTAAAAGTTAAACATATGATATGGACGAAGCATGAAAGCATCAGGCCAGATGAATTAAGTCAGTCACAAAAAGACAAAAAATGTATGATCCCTCTTACCTGAGTTATGTAAAATAGACAAGAATATGGAGAACAAATTTTACTGTTGATTACCATGGGTAGAAGGGGAGAGGAAGGGGAACCATGAGCTTCTGTTATGGGTTATAGAAAACTTTGTATATGAATAATGGTGATGTTTGAACAACAAAATGATTATTAATATCACTAAACTGTACATGCAAAAATGTTCTTCAAAAAGACTATGGAAAAATTAAACTGTCTTTTAATTTCATTTCTCCACAATTTTTTGGAAGCCCTCAGATATGCTAACAATGAACATAAATAAGAACTCTGAGGTGACTACCAGTGGCTCCTTCTTGCCCTGTCCCACTCATACACCCACTGACCCCCACACTCTAGATCCCGGCTAGCCTTACTTCTTCTCGGGGTACGGCTCAAAGGACTCATCAGACGATGGGGCATTCTGCTTTTTGTCATGCTCGTCATCACTCAGGATGTCTCTGGGGAAGAGAGAAGACACTCAGCCAAACCTTGGACAAGGGACAAGGCACACAGGCCAATTCAGTTCTCCCAGACTTCCCACAGAAATAAAAATGCCTTCACTCCAGCCCCACTTCCAAGCACCGAAGGCAAGTAAGCTATGACCCATGCTGAAGAGCCCCTTACAGTCTCAGCGTATGAGACTCCCCGAGCAAGTGACCTTGCCCCAAGTGGGCTTCTGAAATTAGCCCCTCACTCCATAACTGCAGCCTTTGTCTAGCTGAGTCCGCAATTACTCATTTGAAAGTTCACAAAGGCAAAAGACAAACTTTACCCTAATGTCCACAAACTGCTACCGAGTCTGTTGGGCTGCACAGAGCCCAGGTCACAGGCCCCAGACCCTGGGAGGCCGACTGGCCTGCTCCATGGTACTAGCAGCATCATCAGTCATTCATTTTGAGCACTAGGGTGGCACCAAAATGGTGTTGGAGTCCTCCTGGTCTAGACAACGGCAGTCAGCAAACTGGCCAGTCACAGGAGGGAACAGACCCTGAGGACACCTCCAATGAGAGGTTTTGTCATCTACCTGCACAAAACCTCAGCTTCAAGTCACAACCAAGAGCTTGGCTTTCTATGCACTGGTGACCTCTGGGGTGGGGACAACACTGAGGTCTTTAAAGATAAGACCAAACAGGGGGAAAGGACCCAACCAGGAGGTGGCTTTAATAAGAGAGTATCCACCTGCCTGAAGTCAAAGAGAAGACCACCATGCTCCTGTACCCACACCAGGAACAAGACCTGACAAGCACAGGTCTGATGCTAATTGAGAGGCCCCCGGCCACTCCTTCCTCCCAACCTCGACAGAGGGCCACGTAGCAAGCACCTAAGATGGCGGAGTTTGCTTTTCGAAGAAGAAATTTTAGGCTGTTGAAACCCACTCTTCTCTCACCCCTCAGAAAGGTCACTGAACTCGTCTTTTACCCGATCATCCGAAGTTGAAGATGAAACCTGCTTCTCACTCAACTGCCCTGAGAAAGAGAAAAGGCTCACGTTACCACAGTGCCTACACATCCCATCCCAAGCACTGGGCACAAAAACTCTGAGGAACATCCCTCATCAGTTAGCCCAGCCCCTCTTCAGAGGACAAGACTTATTTCTTGGGGAGTGGGGGATTACCTCCATACTGTGGGTATTCTCACATATTTAAAGAACCACTTGTATCAATGTACTGTGCATACTTAGTTTTAAAAAGTCAAGTGGTACTAAAATGTTCACATAGCCATAGTAACTCCCTGTCCATCACTGACCTGCACTTGTTTAAAGTGGAGCCCTAGTGGTACCATGTTGTAAGCATTGGGCTACTAACCTAAGGATAAAGCTGCTAACCAGATGCTTCTTAGGAGAAAGGTACGGTTGTGTGCTCCCGTAAAGATCTGCAACCTCAGAAATTCTAAAGAGCAGATGGACTCTGCCTTATATGAGTTGAAACCAACTCAACTCCAGCAGGTTTGCTTTTGCTTTGGTATTGTGACACAGGAGGAGCTGAGACTCATTGGTGCGTACGTGCGTGTGCAAACAGGTACGCACACACCACACACTCGAGGGTAGAGAGGCATGCTAGAAGGTTGGCCCCTACTCTCCTGACACCAGCATCTCGAGGGAGCCGCACTAAGATCAAGGCCCCACACAAGAGGCCTGTGTTCTCCCCTGTCCACACTAGTCCCACTAGATTATGTTTAGGACAGCTGGCTGAGGTCCAGGAGTGACCTGCAGCTGGCCCAAAACATCAGCCTCGGGGGCAGCAGCCAACACCAACCCTTCCCCCACACTGTATGCACAAGGGCCCCATTCTTCTCTCCCTCAGGGCTCTTAACCCACAGAAACAGCTAGTGCCCTCTGCTCAGAGTGTGGGGCTGGAAGAAGACTAGAGGCCCGAAGCACGTGTCCTTATGGAAACTGCTTCAACCAGTTGCTCATGGAGGGCCCAGAACCTAACGAGCTAGGAACCCTAGATTCCTCAGCCCTGCTAGTAGTTGAAGGCCCCTAAGACAGGATGAACCAGCGCCCACCTGACCCCAGCAGTCTCTCTGCAACAACCCATACCCTTGGGCTCAGGACGAGGGAACCTGGATGAAGCACAGACTAAGAGCCTCCTACCTGGAGCCCCACTTGGGGGTGGACCTGGCTGGGGTGGGGAGCTTTGCCCAGGCCCCACAGGACTGTCATCCAAGGGAGACTGGGCCTTGTCTGTGATGGGCAGTGCCTCAGTCTCGGCCTCAGTCGTGGTCCCTCTGCCCTGGGAGTGCTGGGGGACAGTCCCAGCAGGATTGGGCCCCCGACTGGGGGTATGCCTCGGGGCTGTCTCCTTGTCCCACTCCCACTTGACCGCCAGCGTGCTGTCCAGTGTGAGAGCCCCGCAGCCGGAGTCCATGTCCATGGCATACTCGTGGCCCTGGCCGCAGCCCCACACGGCCTGGATGACGCCGCAGTACTCAGAAGAAAGCATCCTTTGCAGGTTGGGCAGGGCCCCGCAGCTGGCTGCATGCCCGTGCACCCACCCTACCAGGGCCTGCAGGCACCGAGGGCTCCACGTGACCAGGTCCGCTGAGGAGAGTTACAAAAGTCAGCCCCAGCCAGCACCTGCCACCCCGACTGCCCACATACCCCAACACTGACCTGGGCTCTCACCCTCCTCCACAGTCTGGGGTCGGGTCCCGGTCCTGCAAAGGATCAGGTGGCCGTGAGGAGGAGGAGCGGGGCCTGCAGTCAGTCCACAGCTCTGTTCCATTGTCACTGCTTTGCCCAAGGTCTCAGAACAAGCCGTGTCCCTCAAATGCTGTCCCCTCCTCCTCCTCCTCCTCACAGGCCAGCTCGCCCGCCTGCCTGCCTCCCCCATGCAGTGTCCAGGCCTGGTCTGCCCCTAGACCGGCCAGTACCCGGTGCCTACTTCGTGCAAGGTTGCCGGCGGGCCGCTGGGGAGGAGTTGACCTTCTGCAGGAAGGAGCTGAGGAGGCCGTGGCACTGGTAGAACTGGGCATGGCAGTTCTTGCAGACAAAGGGGGACAGAGCAGGGTCCTGGAGGATGGGCACCCCCAGCAAGCGCTGGAAGTCCCTGAGGAAAAGGCGCTCCCCCGGGGGGCCTCTCACCACGCTTTCCCCAGACCCCGGGCGGGAGACGCTGCGGAGACTCCGGGCGGAGAAGCGGCCATGGCAAAGGCGGCAGTGTCCCATGGCCAGCGTCCGGCCTGGTCCTGGGCAAAACGGGGGGATAGAAATCAGCATTCCTGAACGTCCACTGCTGCGCTGCGCTGCGCTCCGCTCGGGCTCACCGGCCTCTCAGGGGTGAGCAGCAAACACGTCCCAAGGAGGTGAGCCCCACAGCTCCGCCTGCAGCCCCCTCACCCCGAGTCACCTTCCTACGCCGCCCTCACCCTAACCCACCGCACCCCGACTCCCCGTCCGCAGTCCTCCACACCCGAGCCCTTCTCCAGCGCCGGCGCCCGGGTCCCCGCCCGCCCGCCCGCCCGGCCGGCCCACCAGCAGTGAGGAGGACGGCTCAGAGAGGGTGAGCGGCTACCTCAAGGTCACAGCGCCGGTCCGCCCAGTTCCGAGAGCGTTTCCTCAGCCGAGAGGCCCTGTCCGCGCCCCCGGCCCCCGAGCCCCGGCCCGAGCCGGGCCCACACACCTGCCTCCTCAGCGCCGTCCTCGGCTGCAGCCGCCGCCGTCCCGTCTGCGCTCG